CCAAGATACCCTGAGTACAAGGTGATTGTCATGTTAAAAATAAAAACACTTTTTCATCTTCCAGTTTTCATACTTCATTTGCATAACATCCTAAATGAATATAAGTTTTTTTGGTAAAACTATATTTTGTTCATCTAACTGTACAATTTTCATTTGTCTGCTTTTTGCATGTTGTTATTGTGTTCTTTTCTGCATTATTTAGTTTAGTAGTAATTTGATCAACCTCAAATAAGAGTTAAAAGTTGAGAAAATAACATAAAATAACTGAAAAAATAAAATTTGAAGTTTATTTAAGTGGTTTTAGAGATTTCATAAATGAAATTTGAGATTTTTCAGGTGAAGAAAAGTATTTTAATCTTAACATGAAAATCACTTTGCACTCAGAACAGTCAACACTTTAATACCATATGTTCAAGGAGAATTTTTTTGTGAAAATACTTCATTAACAATTCCAATTTATTTGTCTACAAATTACTCTTAATGATAACTGAAAGCTTGCGAAATTTTGTGAAGATATACAAAACATCTTAGATGTTATAGTATGGAAACTATAGAAGTCAATTTTTGGGACATGAACTCAGCTGATTCAGTCAAGCTCGTACAATTACTAATTAAAACAACAATACACCACTCGCTTAAAAAAACTGATCAGCTGTTAGAATTGCTTTGCACATTATACATGGGCATACTGGCTTTTCCTAGTATGTGAGGCCAAACATATTCTGCACACTATACACAAGATTTTATGGTAGTAATGCTTATAATAATTCTGAATCCACTACACGTATCTTCACTAAAGTTGGCAAGTTTTTAGTAAACATTACAAGTCTTATAAACAAAAACTCAGAATTTTTAATAATGCATTTCTACTATATTGGTTTGTGAATTTCCAAAGTTTTTACCAAGACACCCTGAGAGCAAGGTGATTGTCATGTTAAAAATAAAAACACTTTTTCATCTTCCAGTTTTCATACTTCATATGCATAACATACATGAATATTAAGTTGTTTTTTTTTGGTAAAACTATATTTTGTCTAACTAACTGTACCAAAATCATTAGTGTACAGTGAAATGAAAAGATGAAAAATATGAAATGAAATTAACAGCACCTTTCTTCTTTGAATGCATCATTTTGCTGGATTGTCAGTCTTCTAATCGTCACAGTTTCAACTGTTAACCTTTTCACATTTGTTTTCTATTAAGTTTAGAGCTTTATTCCCTGTACTTTGGACCTCCATCCTCTGTTAAAAGCAGTAAATCACAGTGGAAGCCTATTAGCTATTTGTCCTAACACCATTAGCAAAGTGTGTGACCCACATGGTCTTTGTGTATGCAATCTGTGCTAGGCTGATTTTTTTCTCTAAGTTAGTTGTTCAAATAAAAATTCATATAGCTTTCAAATATTTATTTCCGAACACTAAAAATATAATAAGCACTAGAACAGAATGTATCAAAACTACTATAATTTAAATCACTTTCTAAAATTCTGTTAGTTGCTCAGAGTTGAACAATGATCACAGATAAAAAATATGATCTTGTCTACTTATGACCCCCCAAAAATATAACCATACTAAGATTTTTGTAGAGGAAAACCTATTCTTTCTTTCACTTATAAACATGTCTATCAAATAAAGATGTGGTATAAATAACTTCCTTGAAAGCTATGATCCTCCCATCTGGGGGATTTGACATATTTATTGATACCTCAGCAAATCAAGAAATGATGTTCAAATATTATATATTGAAGCTCGTCATTATCTACAGTTTGTGTTTCTTATTGATCAGACACTCTGAAACCCATAAGAGGGAAAAATAAGATCCAGAAGGGGAAATCCAGAATGTAACACAAAGAATGAAAAATTGATAAGTTATTTAAATATTTCCTTTTGAAATTAAGAAAATAAAATTTAGATAACATAAACAGTTGAATTATCAACTACATTATCAAACTACATTGCCAAGTTTACTGATATACATTGATAATTAATTAAATTTTGAATGTAACTCTCCCAAAACTTGTGATATGCACACTTTAACTAAACCATTAGCATAGGATTAAGCTTTTATTATGTACTAGCCATGACCCACAAAACATTTATGTAGTTTCATGACCTTCACTTGAATTTTCCTTATTCTATCATTTTCATGCATGCCATTTACGCTACGTTTTTATGCAGACATTATGTGTTAGATAGATAAGTTCCTGTCTATTTGAAAACTTTTACACAATCAAAGAAACAAACTCACATAGACCTAACTTTATTTAATAAAACTACACAGGAAGTAAACAGTAAAGTAATGGTAATTATAATAGTGTACAGAGTATGAAACAGATATGTGTGTTCAGTGTATGACACAGTTTTACGAGTTGAAACAAAGAAACTCACAAAAACGAAAAATAAACCACATATTAAAGAAAAAAAAAAGTAGCTAAAGCTGTTTATAGCAGTCTATTAAATGAACCAAAGCTAAGTTATTGCAAAGTAAAGTAAATGTAAAGTTGTAATGAAGGTAAACCTATCTGAATAAGCAGAAATGTCTGAATTCTCTTTCACAAAGTGATAAGCATAAGGTTTTGAGTGAACTGTGCATGCATATTTTAGACCTAAATAAGTTGAGAAAGCCCATAGCAATTGTACTAAGTGTAATGTTCATTTCTTTTAGGAAATTACCTGCAAGTTAAGCATTATTTGTGTGAAATACTTTGCAAATAAAAAATTAAAGTTGAAATCGAAGCCAGTCGTCATGTGATGACAACATTGGTAAGGTGATTCTGAATGGAAAAGCCAATATGCAATAAGGACTCCTCGGACAAAGGTCTTTCTAATGATATGAGATTTGTAGCATTTGATCAAGAAACTTGCAAGTAAAGTTCTGGACAAAGAAACACAAGTGTATTATTTATATACAAAGTTAATACTAGCTATATAACAGTTCTATATTTGGTATGATATTGTGTCCTTAGTTAAGTTACATTAGTTTCTGCTAATTACTTTATCTGCCATATTCATGATTATTGAACTTTCTTGACGCTTATTGCACTTACAGAAGATTCAACTTTATTACTTCCTGTTGCCTACTACAAGTATTTCATTAAGTTACAGAGGTTAGTTAAAGTGGGAGTAGTTGTGTTAGACACCCCTCATACTTTGTTTAACACACTGTTTTCTTTGTATTGCATTTATCACTGTAATATTTTAATACAGAATTAATATCCTAGCCATTTATTGATTGATTCATGTATTAATTTAACTTCTTATTTTTTATCTTCATAAACATTAGTTTTCGGCTGTACTCTTGCTACTTGACTTTACACCTACACAATAACTTGATTTATCTCAGATTCCACACTTTTTTATAGTTACACTGTCCGAGCTGTTTAATGTGTTATCATTAGTTACAACATTTTTAGGGAGGGTTGTGGAAAGTTCTGCCTATACAGGTTTATGGAGATATTATACTGTTCAACAAACATTAAATCTACTATAATGAGTGTTTTTATGTTCCATAACTATGGTATACACTATTATTTTTTATTGTTACTTTAATTAACAGTATTGGTTAAAATGTTTATCATATCTGCTTTTATTATTTTTAATTTTACTTTTTAATTAGTATTTTTTATTACGGATTTGCATTGTTAGCTTAATATATTTATTTAGGACTAACCTAAATCTTCTAAGTTAGCCAAATCTCGTGAGACATTATTTGGTTTACAGCAGAAATTATTATTAACAGAAAGATACTCAAATGATGAAACAATACATTATAATCTTTAATAAGAAAATATTTAATTAACTACATTCATTACAAGATTGATTTTTAGTTTCACTCTTAAGTAGACAGCTTAATAACAGTTAATAACAATTAGTAACATTTTATATATATATACATAGTTATTTACTCCAGGGACATTTCATGCTTAAAATAACACTAAATGTTGAACAACATACTTGATCAAAAGATAGATAATTATGTAGAATGTAATATACGGTTCACTGTTTTGAAAAGGCTGAAATTTTTGTTGGGCCATTTGGCACTCTTGCTTAACCTCAGCACTGACTTGGACTATAACTATTTTATTAAATAAATGTAATATAAATAGAGATGTGTGGTTGTTTACTTTTTACTATTATTGCCTATTATCATTCCAGTTGCATATAAATGATTGAAATGGCTAAAACAAAAAACCTACTACTTAAACCATGAGGCTTAACAACACAAGTACCATTTTTGTTCAGGTACAAACTAGCCTAACAATCACATCAGCTTTTATTAAATCCACAAATTGATAACCCATGCAATGCCAAATTGACTGACATAAATAACAAAACAACATTGCTTACCACATTCAACCAATTAAATACCTAATTATATGTACTTAATGCTTGCCTGGAGAATCAAACCTCCAGGTCTTTCAATTTTTAAAATGTAGTTACTTCATACTAAAGCTGATGTTTCAAAATAAAGCTAAATCAAAATAAAATAATAATTGAACATCATGAATACCAGTGAAGTTAGTAATAAAAAGCAGTGTGCACACATTTCAGCAGTATCTACCCCAAAATGACATTATTCATAGGGGTGCCCAGATTATGAATGTATTAGAATAGTTTGATACTTATATATTTCATTATTAGATGATCTGTAACTCTTAACTTACAGTCATACAATTATTATTACAACTCATACAGTTCAAGCAGTAAATAGCTACTTATATATTTAGGGTTAAGAAACTGGCTACAATTGCATGTCAAATTTAACTTGGAAAATTAATAATGAGGAACATGATTTAAGGTAGTTAATGAAGTAGAAATGTTTCATTTGGTGATATATTAATCTTTCTTGATATAAATGTTCTTATGAAGGCACTTTATTTTCACAGGAATTCTGACTACATTATCATTTTCCATGAACTTTCCAGAACCTAAACAAACCTTGAGTTAGAAGACCACTCAACTCTTAAACAACCTACACTATGTAAGTACATGCAGTCTCACCATGGACAACAGTAGTCTTGGTAACAGTGGTGATGCTATGTTTGGTGGTGTCATCAACTAATAACTTCTCTGTTTCAGTTTTAGTTGTTGTGGTTTGTCTATCATCAATCTCTTCTGTGTGTTTTGCTGTAAGTGATTCTAAATAAAAAATAGCAAGTAAACATTTACACTACATTTTAAAGATATAATAAAATAGTATCAGCCAGAACTTCAAATATTTCTTTAACAAGTGAAATAAATATATCAATACTAAATGCTTTATCAAAATTGAGGTTTGTTTAAAATACCATAATGTCACAATCAATCAAATTTTTTATGCCAAAAACTAAATACAATTTTTGGATATGTAATACAAGTAGAAAAATAACAATAAAGTATTTCAATTATTTATTTTATAAGCCAAGGTATAAAACAGTTTTCTTGTGTCTTATTTAAAAGCAACTCAACACACACACAGTTTGAAATTATAAGAACAGATTACATTACAAAATGTTTCCCGTATTCTTCTGTGATTTAATTTTGCATTAAAACATATAATCATTTGTTTCGTTTTCTATCCAATATAGGAAACTAATCCAAAATTAAATTAATACTCTATATCCTATTTTTTATGTTGTATATGTATAGTTATGATTTATATATTTATTGTTTATATTTTAATTTTTTACTGCATTCATACAAGTATTGTGAATGTTGCTCTTTAATTTACACAAGGACATAACAGTTTTAAGAGAAAGTCTGTCATATCTCCTCATAATGATAAAAATGTTAAACATTCCCCATTTAAAAAAAAAATTGTTTCCAATTGTAACAAATACATCAGTTAGTATATTTTAGTTTAAACAACTTATAAATACACAAGTTTCTATAAAAGTCACTCTAAATGTCAAAGTTGTATTGGAGTTTATATAAGTTACTCTGAAAACATTTTTTACTGCCTATGTTTTAACATTAAACCCTGATATGATATGACTATATTTACAATTAAATGTTTCTTATTTTTATTACTTTGCTATAAAAAAAAACTTACATGATTCATCAAAACTCTGTTATGATACCCAGATGGTAAACTCAAAATAAAACTAATGGAATATTATGGACAAAAATAAGACATTTCAATGAATTATTCAGCCTAAATTACAATATGATTTTTATGAATCAAGAAAAAATCAAACCATAAAACATTATCTATGAAAAAATACTGAGCTAATAACTACAAAATATAGTGCTAGATGCAATAAAATCTCAATGTGAAAATACTCAAAAAAAAAGTCATGTTGAAACTTTCCAATCATTACTGCTATCTACAGTGTATACATATATATATATAAGTATCTTAAGCTTAGTCTGAACTCTGTTATTACTTATCAAATTAATGTACCATTGCTTCAGAATAGTTTTTATATCTATATCACCTTGTGTGTAATCCTAATGTTTTCATTTTTCGTATGCTGAAAATAGATTTCACATAGATACTTACCTCCTTTCACACAAAAGCTTTTCCCAATATTCATCTGACCTCTAACATATTCAAATAATTTTTATTCTCACTTGACTCAGTAGATTATATACCCCATCAGTTCAAGAAGAAAACCATGTGCACCCAGAGTTTTGAGTAGGATGTGGAACATCTACACAGCCACAGGAACAGGGTATCATACGTCCCTCAACTGGCATTATGACTTGAATGAAGTCCCCCAAGCTCAACCGTAGAAGCAAGGAAAATTTATCCTGCAACCAGAATTACCAAGATAGGGACGTCTACAGGTCTCAACCATAGGAACAGGGTGCTATCAACCTGAACTTGATATTACAAGGAGAATCCAGCTGTGGCTAGTCTAACTCCTTCCCACATCAAACCTTCTTGAACAATAACCTAGGAGGGAGAAGGAGAGAAGGTTTCCAGCTTCACCCTCATCTTAAGTAAGTGTAGTTAGAAATAATGTTACTATATGTATGCTACACTCCCATATAACCCTCAATGGTACACCACTCCAGTGGCTAGGAACTCAAAAGTGGTAAGGACTCTCAACTCCACTCAAGGAAGAGAGGGTAAAAGGTGGTGGGGAGTCTGGATAAATCACACAATCTCCTGTAGAAGATGATGAAAAAGCACTAACAGAGACAAGATGACATGTTGAAATAGATGAGAAAAGGCATTATAAACAAAGTAACTTACGAAGGAAAGAGCAAACCAACTGAATAAGCTGGCGAACCCAACCCATAATGATGATGGGGGGGAAAGGTCATGAGACACCAAAAGGCTTCAGGGAAGAAACAAATACGAACAGAAACCACAAAAGAATGCCGTTTGAGCAACATAGCATCACATAATCTGCACAGGAAACAGAAGGCAGTGTGGAACCTACTGGGAAAAGGAAGGAATGGAAAATGGTGTGAAGGCAAAGACTCCCTTAAAGGCAGGAGAGGTGTCTGGAGAGGGAACCAAGGCTGAGCCAGTCAATATGAGATACCCAGAGAATTTTATGTGAAGAGGCCAATATGAGCTACCCAGAGAATTTGACTTGGAGAGGTGTGGATGAAGGAAATACATTAGGGGAGAAGATTTATAGGTGGGAAGGCATAAAATAAAAGGCCCCTCCATATTAGGAAAACATAAGCCCAATCCAAGGTCAAAGGCCAAGGAACTGGAGACCAGAAAGACAGCAGGATGTCATCCAGATAAGTGACAAATTAATCTATGTGCTGAGTACCCAGACGAGAGCATAAACACCAGACAACCAGAGGATGGAGGGACCACTCCATGGGAATGACCACATGCAGATAGGAGAACCAATCTGCAACTATATTCAAAACATTGGGAAGAAAGCAAGCCAAGAGCAGTATCCTGCATATGTGGGCTCAAAAGTTGTAGCCCCAGAGTTAAAAAACAAAGGAACCAGTACCAGATACCCACCCACTTGCAGAAGTACAGGAACACTTGGAAGTCAGTGGAAAGTACTAAAACTAAAACTTTTGCAAAAGATGTAAGATAAGAGACGGAGCTCTATGAACAATGAAGAGCACCAAAACTGAGAAATGAAGCACAGAAATGCCAAAGTCCAATACAAGAAAATATCCAGGGTATCAAGATATGTACTCCAACCTACAAGAGAAGCTTCAGTGGAAAATAGAAGACCCAAGAAGGAGGTGGAAGAGGAACACTCACCATACAATGGTCACTGTCTCACAATCAAACAACATAGGACTGATGTAAAGAATGAAATACAACCAGATGAACCAAGGGATCCAAGCAGGTGGTGCCATCAATCGAGGAACACCCACCAAAGGTAATGAACAGGTGCCACAAACAGGTATGAGAGCAACCAATGAAGCTTAAATCCCCAAAAGAGATAGAACCTCTAGAGGTAGCCAGGAAGGACAGAAAAGGGCCTTGCAGACTAAATGCTCCATATCTCAAATACTGAGCAAAGAATTAAGAGACTAATTGAAGTTAGAAAAGTAAGAAAATACACCAAAAGAACCAAAAACAGGAAAAAGAGAAAATCACACGATCTGCTTCCTCCAGGAGCAAACTGATATGGACTGGAATCAGCTGGAAACCAGTTGTCCTGAGAAAGATGAGACCAGATGAATAACACTGGTAGAAGTCCAATAATATTCATGACTATTCGCGAAAACACAGAAAGGATCCATGACAAACCCATACGGAAGAGCCAAGAACAGAAAAATATTCCGTATCCCCCTTATGCATCTGAAAGAAGATGAGAAGGTATGCAACAACTACATTGAACAAGGAAACCCACAGACAAGATGTGAAAAGCCACTGAAGGGACAGAAACAACACCCTGGTGGAATGAACAGGAACCAGAAGCTGAAGGAAATAGAAGAAGATGATGACAGGCCTCCATAAATCAGCTAAGGAGGGGATAACTAAAGGCTGAGAGGAAAAATCCCAGCCAAATTGAAATACTGGCACTATAGGTCCTGGTAAGAGAAGAAGTCACCCGACAAAGGGCAACCAATTGCATGAGAGAGGATACTATGAAGGAAGGAAAGGAATGGTAAACAATAATTTAGCAGATAGCCACTGGCAGTGAATAGATTCACACTCTGAAAAACCCAAACAGCCAACAGAAAGAAAGTGAAAGTGTTCCAAAAGTCAACAAAACAGAGAAACACAGTCTCCACAGGATTTTACCCCATCATGTAGAGACTCATATCATAGTTGACGTCCAAGACAGGCACAGGAAAAATGAGGAAATGGGGTGAGAACGTCAAGGTACAAGTAAAAGACAAAAGCAAAGTAAGTGAGATGGCCCACAAAACTGTATTATGCAAAAATGGAGACAGATTGAATTCCCAGAGGGAAGAGAGACCCCTCCCCCAAGTAGCATGTCTCATCCCAAGCCAGGGAAGTAGTGAAAGGCCGATGAGGACAGTCACTCCCTGAAAGGCAAAAGCATGTAGATAGAAATTCTTGCAAGGCAGGCACAGAAACCCCCAAACCAAAGTGAGATAAAAAACAAAGTTCGAGAACCTAGAAAAAACAACACTGACATTAGAATACAAAACACTGTTGTGTGCCTTTAATTTTCACAAATCATTTGAAAGGAACAGGCAAACAACATAATAATACAAGTATTAACTAACTGTTAGCGAAAAAGAATAAACTACGACATGGGTACTGTGAAGACAAAATGCAAAATTAGTGACTAGTATAAAACAAAATGAGGAATTGAAGCCAAAGCAAAGCTCAGCCCTATGAAACATAAATAAAGGAACATGTCAATGATGTAGCAATGAAAATAAAATAAAAATGTCTGACACTTACTAAGATGAGGATTATACGATATATATTGAACAATGATTAAAAAACGAATGATTCTGAGATAACCATAAATTACTATTATAAGTACATTATTATTTATCGATTGATTGATTTATAATGAATTATATTTATAAGTATTATAATTAAATTATTATTATAGAAATAACCAAAAAGTACTAGTTATTAATACTAGTAACATAGAACTTATAAATCAGCTAAACATACCTAGTGAACAAAATACTTATTAATATCAAACAGAACAACCGTTGAGAGGTATCTAGTCAACAAAGGAAGTAATAATAAACAAATAATAATTACAAACTGTCTAAATATACCAAGAAAACAAAGTATCAACAAATATCTAACCAACAATCCATCAAAAATGACGTAGACAAAAAAGTACATAGAAATATCCAACTTACCAAAGTCAGAACAATGATGACGTGAAACGTGAATGCTCAAGTGTGGAAATAAGGACAAAGCCACTCCATAGGCATCTGAGCCCTGTCTCTGATGGGTATAGTAACATGGTTGGTAGTATACAAGTTAAAATACCATAGAGCCACTAGGGGAACTAGAAGTAATAGGAAGAAAGGAGGAGAAGAACAAACCTTCACTAAATTGAAACACTTAGCAGCATGGCAACTGGATCAAGAAAAATAAAACTAGCAAAATCATCAATGTCTCAACCATACTGAAAGGCTGGAATATGCCTCAACCATTGTGGAGAAGAAGGCCCAGGCTACATGGAGAAAATAAACACTCAACAAACTAAGGCTCGTATCCATTCAGCAGACAACAGCAATCCTGTGGCCTGGATAAGCAAAATAAGTATGTTCCCAGAAATTGCAATAACTGTGTTGGGAATCACGAGAAATATGAAATATAGAAAACATAATAATGTGTGTGAAACAGATAATCAAAATCTGTATCACAACATAATGCAAGATAGAATGAAAGCATACACAAACACATAAAAAATCAGTAGTCAGTATTGAAAACTGAAATTAAGCAAGAAACATGTTCAACTCGTATGGTGCCAATCAAGAAAGTGAGGTAAACAAAATTTAATATAGAGGGAGCCAGCTGCTCCAGGAGTATATGTCGTGCTCCTACTGGTAGAAAGTAGTCACATGCATTATGAATGACAAATAAGCAGCTTCAACTGAAGGGGTATATAGGCTAGTGAGTCAAGCGAGAATAAAAAACTTTAATGCATTAGAGGGCAGATGAAGATCAGGAAAAGCTTTTGTGTAAGAGAAGGTATGTATCATATTCAAATAAATAATTCCTTTAGTCATAAATTAATTTTTTCTCACTAGTAACATCAATAGTTAATAAAGAGATTTTCTTTTCAATAAATGTTTCATAAATATATTATAGTTAAGGACATTAATTACTTTTCTTAGAACTTAAGATGACTAATTGGGTAAGAAAGGACCAAGGTCTCTTCTCCCAAATTAACATAATTAAAATTACATTTGGCTTTTGTTTTATTTAAGTTGTCACTTAAACATAGCATTTAACTTTTTAGTTGAACTTGCAAAGCTGACATTAACTGCTGTCATAAATAACATATACAACTTACACATCATAAAATGTACATTTAATATTCTAACAGTAAGAAGAATGGATTAATATGCAATATTATAGGAATAAATTGAGATCCAGCACTAGACTGCAAGGAAGTTTCTTGATTGTTCACCTCTGTTTCCTTCCATTAAGCAGTCAACTAGATTCACACATGAATAAATTAAATGATGTATCAGTTGAAAAAATATGTATTGCATGATTATTTAAATGTTATATTATTTTGGTATATGTAATTGAATGTGATATATATATAACACAAAATGTAGAACATTGTCTGTATGAGTGTTACATGACTAGAAAACAATAACATTGTCTGTATGAGTGTTACATGACAGGAGAACAATAACACTCTATATAAATATTACATGACAAGAAAATACAAAGTAGAAATACTAATCATACAACATGCAAAAAACATTAAACAATATTACTGAGCCAGTTTCACTTTTTGTTTTTTGCAAAAATAAAGTCAGAAAATAAAATTTATATTTAACTTCAGCAATTTCACAGCTTGTCACTGAAGCCTACCTTTCATTAACTTAATCATTGACAGTTATTTTGTGTGAAATACAGTTCTGGTTGCATAAATACTGTAAAACATGAGGCTTTTGCAGCATAACTGACACCATAATAACCCAGACTTAATTTTTATTATTATCATACTTTTATTATGGTTTTTGCACTGTTCACTTAATATATATATTTAGGACTAACCTAAATCTCCTAAGCTAGTCAAACCTCATGAGATATTATAGGGTTTACAGCACAAATTATTATTAAAATAATGAACTATAATATCTGACTTACTAAGCAAATTATATCTAGTTTTTATGCAATTTTTTTATTGATTTGTACTTAAAAATGAAGTACTTTAGTGAAGGTTCATGTCATTCATAATTTTAAACTAACTTAGAAACATCAGTGCAACAGTTTGAACAGCAACAATAAAAGCTAATAATATGACTTTATCAACACCTATATATATATATATATATATATATATATATGTATAGACACGCACACATAACTACAAAGATGTTTTTTAGCTAATAGATTCAATTTTTCCAGACTCACCAGGTAGAATGTCAACATCTCTTGTTGTTATCTTTGGTTCAAGTGGTGGGGATTTATGGTCAAAGAGTTCTTCAGCTATGGTTGGCTCCATAATTTTCTCTTCATTAGGCTCTGTATATTTTATAAAAAAATAATTAATGAACACTAGTAATAAATATAACTATCAAACTGAACCACATTAATGTAAAGATTTACTAATAACAGAGTTACATAAGTATCATAGTTCTATTTGAAAAAAAAAAAAATTCATAATTAACATACATTATTAAAGTTAGGGAGTGAATTCAGCATATAATGTCAAAGACTGAAAACTGTGTAAATTCCAATTAATATACAGTTCTTGCTTTTTTTCATCCACATCTCAGTCATAATTTATGTTGTCTTTACCGTAGCATAAATTTTAATCTCATATGTACAAACCAAGCAAAAATTTATAATTTTTTCCTGACAAACAGTACCTTTAGGAAAGATAATACAGGTTTGTTTTTCAGTGGTTTAGGTTAAATATGGAAGCCAGTACAAGGACATGTCACATGACTGACAAAACTTTTGAATTTTATTACAAGAACATTTTCTTGTTTTGTTTGGTGTAATACTTTTTTATTACCAATTCCACAGTTAATAGTTGATATTAAACACTGTAATTGATCCTTCTCAAAGAATTTTTGTATGTTTCAATCTATGCTTGAAATAATTATTATTTTGACAATTTAACACATTCCATTTATTATGATAATTAGAGTCCAATTATCATAAAGTAAAATTTCTAAATTGAAATATACATATATTCAAGTGGAAAAATTAAGAGATTTTTAAAATGTTGACACATTCTTGCACTTATGGTTCTAGTTGTATGTCCTCAAACAATCTGCAGGATGAAAATGAAATTTAAAAAAAACTATATATACATATATATTTGCTACTTAAATGTTTGCACAGAAAAACATAAAAACATCTAAATTACTTTGCTAACATTTTACCTAAAACATCAATTTTGAGCATAAACTAGGGGCCATTCTTTAATTTTTTTAATCACCTCACACTAATATACATGTTTTACTATTCTATAGCAAGACTTCGTTTGTCATTATTTGATCAATTAAATAACCACAAATTTTTAAAAATAGACTGAAATATATTATCAAGTTTTCAGTGAAATAACAAACCTTAACATTTTTATGGATCAGTACAAAAAAGCAGATTTAGCAATATGATGAGGCATGTGTGTAAATATAATTACAAGCACACAACTATAGAGAGGTGGGTATATGTATCATCACAGCTATTTGCAGTACATTAGGGTAAAGTAAATTATTGTGAAGTGACTGTCAATATGTTCTTTGCTGCTCATATGAACTAGCATTTGCTGACTAATCTCTGAAAAAAAAGGGAAGTTTCCTTTGAAACCTTATAAATAATACTTTTCAAATTAGATTAATGAATGGTATTTCATACAAATAAATAAATGCAATAATTATTAAAAATTTAATGGTACTGACAGAAGCTATGGAAATATATATGTTCACTTCTAATAATAGAAACAGATTTCTGCCCAAAACTTTAAATAATATAACAGTATATATATACATATAAAGACACACACATTTATCTACAAAAAAAATACTGTCCATAGCAGAGAGAATGAAAAGACACAAAAAGATTGAAAAAAATAAGCTTTGGAATATTCATAACTAAACAAACACTAAGCATCTTTCAGCACCTCTCTACAAGGACAGTACCTGTGGGTATGCAATACACTCAATTGCATACATAATCATAGTATTTGTACAAGTATCACACATACTTGCATGCATTCACATGTAAAATATCACTTAACATTTAATACTTAATCCTACAGAATACCTTCTGCTGCTGGCCTTGCTGAAGGTCTGGATTTTATTTCACATATAGGTTCCAACTGAGAAGAAACTCTCTCTTCAGGATGACCTGTAATTAAACTGTCATAGCAAACAGTTGTTTCATCTGGTGTGGCTCTTTCTTCAACAGATTTATTTACAGATATAATTTTTTTGGATTCTATAGATGAAAATTTTGGTTTTTCTAAGGCTTCAAAGTTTTTCTCTTCAACTTCTGATTCATTTACAATAGGCTCACATATAACCACAGGCTTGATTTCCAGTTCTAATATCTTTTCTAACTCTTCTAATTTCTGTTTATCCAAATCTGTTTTTTCTACAACAAACTCAGGTTCAACCATGGGCTTGACTTTTGGTTCTACTACTTTTTCCAGTTCTTCAAATATTTTCTCTTCCACTCCTGGTGATTTTATGATAAAATCAGTCCCAACAACTGATAAATCTTTTAGTTTTGGTTCTTTAGGTTCTTCTTCTATTCCTGTTATATTAACAACTGATTTAGGTTCAACTACAGGATGGTATTCTTGTCCTAGTAATTCTACAGATTCTTTAAGTTTTTGTTGTTCTTCTTGTTGATTAATAACAAGCTTAGGTTCAAACACAGATTTGACTTTCGTATCTACAGTTTTTACTAGTTCTTCATGCCTTTTTTGTTCCTCTTCTACTGATTTTATGCCAAGATTAGTAACAACTACAGGTTTACCTGTATGTTTCAAATGTTCTTCAACTTTGTTTTGTTCTTGTTCAATAGCCGGCTCAGATTCAACTATGGCTGTGACTTCTAGTTCTCCTGTCTTGTCTGGTTCTTTAATCTCTTTCTCCTCATCTTCAAGTGATTTCATGTCAAAATCAGTTACAGATAGAGGTATGATATCTGGTTTTGATTCTTTAGTTTGTTCCTTTTTCACTTCTATTAAATTTGGAATTGGCTCAGTTTGAATGATAAGTTTGGTTTTTTGTTCTATTGGTTCTACAGTCCCTCCAAGTTTTTGTTTTTCTTGTTGATGATCAACAACAAGCTCAAGTTCAGTCATAGACTTGACTTCTGGTTCTATAATTTTTTCTGATTCTTCATACTTTTTATCTTCCTCTTCTGATAGTTTTGTGACAAAATCATGTTTGACCTCTTGTCTTTCTGATTGTAAAAACCTTTGTCCTTCTTGTTTAACAATACGCTCTGGTTCAATAACAAGTTTGATTTTTGACTCTCCAATTTTTTCTAGTTCTTCAAACTTTTTCCCTTCCTTTTCTGGTGGTTCTCCGACATAATCAAAAACAATTACAGATTTAACTTCTTCAAGTTTTTCTTCTTTTTCTTCTTGATTGACAACAGTCTCAAGTTCAGCCACAGGTATAACTACTGATTCAACAAATTCTTCAAGTTTTTGTTCTTCCTCTTCTTGTTGGTCAACAATAAATTCAGGTTCAACCACAGACCTAGCTTCTGGTTTGTCTAATTTTTCTAGTTCTTCATGCATTTTATCTTTCTCTTCTGGAGACTTTATGATAACATTAGTAAAAACTACAGGTTTAACTACTTGTTCTAGTGGTTCTTGTTCAACAACAGGCTCTTGTCCAACAATGGGTTTGACTTCTACTTCTCTAGTTGTATCCAGTTTTTCAAACTCACTCTCTAGTGATGTTATGCCAAGATCAGTTACAACTATCGGTTTGACTTCTGATTTTGACTCTTTAAGATCTTCATCTATTAAATCTACAACAGCCTCATGTTCAGTCAGAGGTATGACTTCTGATTCTACAAATTTTTCAAGTTTTTGTTCTTGTCCTTGATGATCAATGGTAAACTCAAGTCCAATCACAGGATTAATCTCTGGTTCTCCTGTTTTTTCCAGTTTCTTAGGTCTTTTCTCTTCCTCTTCTGGTGGTTGTATGACAAGATCAGTAACAACTAGAGGAATAAGTTCATGTTTTAATGGTTGTTCAAACGTTTGTTCTTCTTCTTGTTGAATGACAACAAACCCTGTTTCAACAATGGGTATAACTTCTGGTTGTACTGATTTTTCTAGTTCTTTAATCTTTTTATCTTCCTCGTTAACAGTTACAAGTTTGACTTCTCGTTTTAATTCTTTTACTTCTAGCCCTTCTTCCTCTATTAACTCTACAACTGACTCAATTTTAACTACAGGTTCAACTTCTTGTTCAACCACAGGTTCGACTTCTGGCACTCCTGTTTTTTCTATTTCTTCAAGCTCTTTTACCACCTCTGCTGGTAATTTTATGCCAGAATCAGTAACAACTACAGGTTTGACTTCTGGCTTTGCTTCTTTAGGTTCTTTCTCATTTTCTTTGGTTAAATTTACAGTTGGTTCACTATCAACCACAAGCTTGATTTTTTGTTTTAGTGATTCTACTATTTCCTTAGGTTGTTGTTCAGATTCTTTAGGTTCTTCTTCATCTATTAAAACTACAAATGGCTCAAGTTCAACCATAGATTCAACTTCTGTTTCTACAGGTTTCTCTAATTCTTCAATTATTTTGTCTTTTACTTCTGATTTTTTAATAATACTCTCAAATTCAACCATAGGCTTAACATCCAGTTCCACAATTTCTTTTAGTTGTTCAAGTTCTTCCTTTTCTGTTGTTTTTAAAGTAAGATCAGTTTCAAGAAGTTTTTCTAGTTGTTGAAGCTCCTCTTTCATTGTTGTTTTTAAAATGGGTTCAGTTTCAATTATGGGTTTGACTTCTGGTTGAATAGTTTTTTCTAGCTGTTCAAGTTTTATATTTTCTGTTGTTTTGATGATAGGATCAGTTTGAACTATAGGTTTTAAATCTGATTCCACTGGCATTTCTAGTTCCCCTATTTCTTCTTTGTCGAAAATAGTCTTAACTACACGTTTAACTTCTTGTTCTTCAAATTCTTGAACCTCTATTCCTGGCATTTCTTCAGTAGGCTCAGATTCAAATACAACAACTGGTTTTAGTAGTTCTTCCATTTCAGGTTTCTGTACAGCTGATTTTTCTTCTAACTTTTCAGGTTTCTGATTTTCCACTTCTGTTTTTTTTAAAAGATCAGACTCAATCATGGACTCAATTTCTATTTCTTGTGTCTTTTCTGGTTCCTCATGCATATTTATTTTCGTCTTTGTTTTTACAACAACAGCTTCAGGTTCAACTGCAAACATAATGCCTAGTTCAATAGGTTTTTCCAATTCTAGAAGAATATTATCTTCTTTGTTTTGTTTTTCTACAAATGGCTCAGCTAGATTTAATGGCATAGTTTTTGGTTCTCTAAACCTTTTTTCTTCTATACCAGACTCAAGTTCAAATAAAGGTTCTTTTTTCTCTAACAGAGTCTCTGATTCAGTAAGGGGATTCATTTCTGTTTCTTTAATAATTGCATCTTTTGACTTTTCTAGCTTTTTCCATTGTTCAGATCCAACTTTTTCTGTAACAATTTCATGTTCAAGCACAAATTTAAATTCTTTTGGTTGGTCTTCTAGTTCTTCTAATTTTTCAAATGGAGATAACTCTTCTTCCTCAAATTCTTCATCAAGTTTTTCTATTTTTTCCCATTTCTCATCTTCTGCTTCTATTTTAGAAATAGATTCTACTGAAAGAAAAGTTTGACCTTCTTGTACTTGTTCCAAAGACTTTTCTAATGATTCAAACCTTTCTTCTTCTTCAGGTGGTCGTGATCCAGTTATAGGCTCGAATTCTAAATGTTTTAATGGTCTTTCTACTTCTTCAGGTGTTTGTGATCCAGCTATGTGTTCAAATTCTAAATGTTCTAATGGCTTTTCTACTTCTTCAAATGATGATATATCTTCTTCATCTTCAATAATTTCCTCTGGTTTTTCCAATTCTTCCCATTTTTGTTCTTCAACTTCAACTTCCTTTAAAGTTGACTCTTGCTCCATAATATGTTTGACCTGTAACATGTTTTCACTTTCCTTTAATTTTACAATTTCTTCCTGAGAAGTTGGTGTCATCATTTGTTCAGTCTTCAATTCATCTTTCTGGTGCTCCTTAACTTCTTTTTGAGACTCTTGCTGTAGTAGTTGGTAAACTGGGAATTGAAAAGTTCCATTGATCGTTTGAAAAGAATTCCAATGAAATTAGTTTAATCTTCTTTCATCTCTGATGATGAATTATGTGTTAGGCATCTCAGCTGTTAATGTAGGGTCAATGCTATCACCAAGAAAGCACAAACATAGCAATGTTTTAAAGCATGAGCAAGCAACTGTTGAAATACTAGCCAAAAAAGACAACAAAAACTGGATGTGCAGTAAGCAAATACTACATGCAATATAAATGCTTAGAACATGCAAATTTAATTCCATGCATGCAAGATACAAATAGTAAGATGATATTTATGAAAGTACAAAAATCATGCACATTCAATTTGAAAAATAAAAAATGGCATATTATATTTCTGAAAATAATTACATATAATTCAAAATTTCAGCATAAAAACAACAAAAGAGAACAATCATGCACAAGTTACATGCAAAAAGATCCATACACTATAATGTGTATTAACGAGTATTAAAGTTAAGAAAATTGTTTGACATAAGACTAATATTGCTGCTAATAGAGTATTTTTTATTATATAATTATGGTTATCCACCTTAACTTGGTATAGCCCAAACTTCCCATTACCTTATATATCAAGAAAGTTAATACATCACTATAAAAAAAAATAATCATCTGATAATAAGTTTTCAATTTTCAGTTAATTATTACATTAAACATACACTATGAAGCTTCTCTACTCATTTTGCTGGGAGTGCCAGATGGTGGTAGTAATAAGTTAATAAAATCGTGTACTTTTTGCCAATTATATTAAGAAATCTTTCAGATAAGCTTGATCTCACTATCAAAATAAAATATAAATGTGGGAGAGAATTACCAAAACTTGACTTGCATTTCTGAGATGATCATAGTTGTTATTGTCAAGACTGGGAAATTCAAAGAACAGATATAAGATCAATAAGTGAAAAATTAAACTTTAATGGATTCTTGTAGCAGCAGTACAGATCAAGCTTCAGATATTTTTTATAATAAGTTAAGTAACTATTATTATAGACATTATTCATACAAATTAGAGAACTCCTGCTTATAGTTTTTGATATTCTTTTCTGCTTAAATAAGCTAGGAAGACTGAACTTGACTGGCTGATTTTTCCAACAAAAATGATAAAGAACTTCAAAGATTAATTTTATAAGAAATGATTTTTCAAACGAACTGTTAGAAGTCAAGCTTTCAGAATTATAACAGTACTTACAGTTATATTAAACTGGTTTTTGAAACTCAAGCAAATTGGCACAAGTTAGTTAGAAATGCAAGTTTTACACATATATCTGACTACAACACTTCTATTCTCCTTTCATTAACTGCAGTAGTGTAATTATATATGAATACAAAAATGAGCTACCAATACTGCAAAACTTTAACATAAATTGTTAAGCAGTACTTTATAAAACAATATATTTGAATTATTTTTAAACAAAATGTTACCTAGGTAAAACATAATGTGCTAAAAAGCATCCTGTTAGTAAAATTGCATAGACTTCTGCATTGTTAAGCATTCACATCTGGTTTAAAATTATCGCATAGAAAATTCATTAATATAAAAATATAAAATTTTTTGAATAACATACTCATATAATATTAAATTAATTATTTTGATAAAATTTAGCAAATACAATACTGGAAAACAAAACTAACACATTTGATTCAAGGAGTCAAAACAGTGTTGTAAATATGGTTTTATGGGTGACAACTTGTTATTAACATCATATTTTTTTATGCCAAACAGTACAAGCTAGCGAAACATATTTGGTTGTTAAAAATATAGTGAATCAGGTACCACTCAGAGATATATATTTCTCATCACAAATTAAACAATATTTTTAATAGAATAATTTATACATGTAACTACATTTAACCTCCACTTAAATATTCTATTCTACATTCTAAATATAACTAAACAGGGAAAAATACTATATCTGATTCATATATATTTACCTAAAACTAATATAGTATTTACACTATGTCTTTATTTCATTATCTCCAAATAAAAATATTTAAGTTAGCTTTCTCAAGAAAATAAAGAATTATTATATGTATAGCTGTCTCCAGATATGTGCAATACCTACTTTATTAGTGGATACTGCAGAGATTTGAAAAACAAAAAAATAAACACTAGATCTATAAATATTATGGTCCAGATATATATGTGCTTTGTATGTAAAATTTAATAAATGATAAAACTGGATGGTTAAGATGAATCTAATATCACAGTCAATATGAATAATTTACAGATATGAGTAAGAAGATGGATGAATCATTTGAACTTTTTTTTATTTTTGTCCTACAAATGAGCACCCTCACATAAACAATTGGAGTTATATTTTCTATGCTAACATTTTCCTAAGTTAAAATGTATTTCCAATAATACTTCCCTCTGCTGACAATTATAGTTATTATTCGACTATTAAAAAAAATGTGGAATATTCAAACTATCATGACAAATTAAGTTTAAAACTTTTGCATGCTGAACACAACATCAAAACAAGTTACCAAAATACTTCATTAGAAGCTATAGAGTTAACAATCATATCCCTTAAAATACATTTAAATTTAAAACAAAAATTAGTTAAGTAAGAGTATTTATTATTGAACATGTTACTTAATTTTGAAATAAATAAATATACATGAAATAAGTGAAATCAAATGATAACATTCACTGTCTTGAAGTAATTTATAGATTGGAAAGCTAGCCTCTGAAACTCAGTATTTGAGGTTTTGGGAAGTACAAAGTAATATGACAAAATGCAGTATGGAGAAATTTGTGTCCTCCCCTATAGGCAACAATCACTGAAAAATGGCTGGCAGGCTTAAACTATTTTTATTTCCATTGGTATTAACTCTTTCAGCATGGGCTCGGTTCCAGGGACCAATCTCATAACCATTTTGTGCTTGTTATAATTTTCATGCTATAACTTTTAAATTAGTAAACGAATGTAAACAAAATTTGGCAGATTATCAGTAAACATTACAATGCTTTCATACGCAAATTATCAAATTTTTTATTAAGTCTTAAGGTTTGTAAAGCAATGTTTTTCTCATGTTTTTTTTTCTCTTAAACATTGCAATGTTTTCATATGCAAAATATCAATTTTTTTGTTATTAAGTCTTGAGGTTTGTAAAGCAATGTTTTTCTCATGTCTTATTTTTCTTGGCATATTGCCTATCTATCATGTAAAGTAATATTCATTTTATGATTAAAAATATTTTTATGCATCAGAAAATTTTCAAATTTCACATGCAAAATCTTTATAATGTCCAGATAGTTCTCAAACGTTTCCTAAGAAAAAACTTTATATTTTATCTGTTATTTTCAGTAATTAATCTCTGTACAGGTTTGGTACATTTGACCGATCTCACAACCACCATAAAAAATTATGAAATAAATAGTAATTATGCCTCTCTTTCTAGAATGAACACAAAATATAACACAAAAACATAGATGTTTAAACTAAATAGCTTAAATTTCATAACATTATACATTTATGTAATAATTATTGTTTTTATTATATTGAACTTTCAGCCAAACCAGAAGCTACAATGATGTGGCTCACGTGCACTCATGTTACTGTATCAAATAACATAAAACTGATCTTTGGTCTGTACGAAGTAACTTATCTTGGCTGTGTTTTAATCAACTAGTATTTTGTAAAATATAGTCACATTTCAATTATTATACATTATTCTTGTATATAGATTATTGCTATTTTGAAACAAGTTTTTAAACATATTTTTCCTAAAACACAGAAAAGCAAATAAAGAATTAAAGCAAACAATTATCTCTTGTAGTTACGACTTTTTTACTCAGTTGCTAAGCCTTTAAAAATTTTGCACGTGAAGGATATGAAACAAAATAATTTTTTAGGTTTTATATATACATTTGAATAACTAAAAAATCATAAATTACTACATTAATACCACAGAATTCCACTATAATTTATCAATCTCAGTAACTAATACATATTTAGTCTAAAAACACTTGAAATTTCGAGCAGATTAAAGACTTGTTCAAATATTGGTTCAAAAGAAAGAAAATGGCACCAAGCCTGTTAAAATGGCTGAAAAAATCCACAAGGGAGACATTCTGAGCTTCTGATTGGTAATATATAGAAGTAAGTGTATATAAAGGAGCATTTCCAAAAATGGAAAGAAGTGGGCAGGGTACCATTGT